TACATATTATCAAAGTGAGGCACATAACTTTCAAAAATTCGCCACTCTCCTGTTTTGATAAACCTTTGAAGCTTGTTGACTTGTTGCTTCTTGACATAGCATGAATCAGGGTGCCCTTTAAAAAAACTATAAAATCATATTTAAATACATTGAAAATCTTAATTAGAAGCATATAAACATTTTTATTTAAAAAAAAGCATACAAACATAAATCGATAGGTGCATAGACGCTTACAAATGCATCATGTAGTGAGTCCACAAAAATGCAATATTCTTACTTGAATCCTCTAACTTGTTTGAAAGGTTTGATGTGAGCAAGGCTCGTGAAACCAAGATTTGCAGCCTTTTTTTTTTTTTACTGAAATATATATAGCAATAAAAAGGAGAAGGTTCAAATGATTAGTGAGTGCTGGATATGTGAAGCGAATCCTTTATTTATAGATTAAGAAAGTCGGCTAATATATTTCGGGTTTCAACCATAAAAAGCAAAATAATATCGTTTTCTTAATTTAAAAAAAAAAGATTCGTGGTATATGCTTAATTTCAAAAGATTATGATATATTGTTAAGATTATTTATGGCATCTATAATTACTGTTGACGTCTAATATTCGAAACCGCCTCGCAAATATAGCAATTAATGATTCCATTTAATTATTTCTTAAATTGCGAAGATGATATATTATTTGAGTTTAAATTTTTCCATAATTTGTATTTAAAAATTGATTAGAATCGTTTTTAACTTTTTATGGTAAGGATGAAGATTACTACCACGTGGACGTCGAACATTGGGTATTATATTTTTCTGCAAAATAATAATAATAACAATTATCAATTAAATATAGATAATAAGGAATTTAGAATAAGATAAATCACCCTAATGATTAGCACTTGCCAGTGGAAGCCCCCTTGGCCCATTGGTTGACCAAGAGTTAATTAATACTTCTACACCAAGAGGTCTGGGGTTCGAGTCCCAGATATTGCGATTTATTAATAAATTTGCAGATTAAAGGAGGTAAGTGTGCAGGAGATCTCCAGCGAAGTACAATTATAGCCGTTCGCCAGGATTCTACGCCGAGAGAAGTGTCGTCAGGTCATGGATCATTGAAGGTATCCGTCAAGAGCATGAAGAAGGAAGTGTCGTCTGTCGTGGATCTAATAAGGGTCGGAAGGAATTGTCCGTTGTAGAATCGTCTATGTAACAGTTCTCATAATTTGCAATAAATAATAAATCTAGACGTCAAAAAAAAAAAGATTAGCACTTGCCATAACTACCCGACAATAATTCGAATTCGATTTGAATTTGGAAAGTCGTGAATATTGCCATTTCAAATCAACAACCAAAAGTATCATAATATATAATAATTATGGAGGTTGACAAATAAGGCTTACATAGATCTTTGTTATATTTGTGCGAAATTCTTGGTATGTTTCCAAATCGGTATGATATAAAGGAAATATTCTAGGTACGTTAAGATTTATTCTCTAAATAATAAAACTCAAATTTGGTTAGTTATTATTGTGTGCAGGAGATTTGGAAATATCTTATAAACAGATTCGGTTATGTTAGAGATATCATTAACAACTTCGGTTCTATTCACGGATCCAGCCCAAGATCCGCTTTTCAATCCGACCCAAGATCCGCTTTTTAATCAGACCCAAGATCCGCGTGTATTGACTTGTTGAAGTGACCGATTTACCCTTAATCGTTTTTTTTTTTGCTCTTTGATTTCACTTATTCCAATGGCATCTCTTGTAATTATTTACACTTAATAAGGTTATATATTATCTAATCTTTCCCAATTAATAGAATAGATGGATTATGTTCATACTTTTAGTCATATATTAACACACATATTTAATTTTTAAGTTTTGTTATACGTATATATATATATATATATATATATATATATATATATTACATTTTTGTTATTATTATTCAAGTAACCTATATTTAAAATTGTGTATTAATTCAAAATTAGTGCTTAGATAATTAGATGTAACTAACCATAAAACTAACTATTTTACCATAATTATTAGTATGGTCCATATTTTTATTGTGGTGATGATGTGGACCCATAAGAGGAAAGAAAACTCTCTCATTATATATAGATTATAAATATTTTTTCATATAGATTTTTGCCATGTGTGTTTATTCACGACTCATGTATTTGCAACCCTATTTATTTTTAATTTGCTAAAAACTTAGTTTTCATTTGTAAATATTAATTGTTTTGTGGATGCAAATTTTATATATTTGTATTTTCATTTGACGAATATATAAAAACACTATATTACGATGATAAATACTTATTTTATCCAATTATATTGATTTTCAATAAATTATATTGTTATTTAAAACTTTGACTATTATTATTTATTTGCTAATATCCATACTAAATGATTTTAAAAAAATAATTCACATGCCAAATCTAATTGACCAATAACACATGTAAAGAGAAACGGTTAGTTTTCTTTTTTGGTTAAGAAAAATAAAGTCAACAAATTTTAGAAAATAGATATATAAATTAGTATATGTAAATATTATTTTTTTTAGTTTTCCTATTTTGTTAATGAAAAAATTAAATATTTTTTGACACATGTCAACATCTGATCGATAGACTTGACACATGTTACGATCATGCAAGTTACTAAGACCATACATAGTGGGGCATTTTTCACCTGGGTGTAAGGAATAAAAAAAACGGAAATAAGGGAATAGTGAGCCTGGAATCGGAAGTCGCGTGTCCGGGTGTAAGTGCCAGCTGTCAAAGTTTGGTTGGTTCCAATTTTGTTATTGAAAAAATGATTTTTATTTGTTGGGGAAAAACAAAATCGATTCCTTCCCTTCCTCCTCTCTCGAGTCTCGTCTCTCATAGTCAACTCTTATTACATAGTTTCTAAACTAAACCTCTAACATTATTTTACTAATTTAATTTCCCTAACATCTATCCTCTAACTTATACCATTGTGGATGCTCTAACTTTGAAAACCATACTTTATATAATAAGATTTTAGTTAATAATAGGATGAATAATAATAGATTAATAGTAAATAAAATATCCTTGGACTTAACAAAAGAATTGTCCACGTAGGATGCGGTTCTACGTTGACTTGTGTATCAAACATCTTCAAACATCTTCAAACACTCCCATTCTTCTTTTTCGTTAGGAAGGGGGGACGATTGTCGGAGTCAACAATTGTTAACTCTTAAATATTCATACAGATTTAATATTATGCAATCAAAATATATATGAAAATGTTTACAGTCCCAAATCTATCCACATGATTATTAACGTTACAGCATTACATCAACAATTGTTTTTTAAAAAAATAACCAATTATTTAGCTTTTTGGCGAAGAAAAATTAAATTTCCAGTAAATTTCAAACATTCGAGTTTAAAATTTAAAAGAGGATTAAAAATTGGAAAAAGGCTAATTAAGAACAAATAAATTATTTCCGGTTATGATCATTGACTAATTGTTGACATGTGCTTTAAACCACACCTTACAATTGATCCGTAGCCTATGTACCTAAGTCTTTGTGGCTAACGGTCTAATCCATGTAAAATGTTGTCGTTAACCTTATTAGTAAATGACATATCTATCTTTTTTTGTTTTTATGTACCCACATAATGACATAATTGACTTAGTCAAAAACTTTTCTTTTTCTCTTTTTTCTCTTTCACTTATATAATTTCACTTTGTTTTGTTAAAAATTCTTCATAAAAAAATTACCACAATAACATATTAATCTTTAAATTTTTTTATGAATCTAAAAAGTCCAATTTTGCTATATTTTGCGGATACATAACAATTTTTATATTTAATCTCAATCCGACGGTGTACGTGATAATGTAAAGATAGTGTACAAACGGTAGTGTACAACGATAATGTAAAAATTAATGTATGATATTCACATGATGTAAGAAGTGATATACTGGATATGACAATGAAAACTACAATCTATAATAGTGTACAACTATATAATACGATGTATGGTGTACATGATATTAATGGTGTACATGAAACGATGAGATAGTAGATCTCACCATACACCACCTTCTGAACCGTCTACAACATCGTACATTTTTACATATTTTGTACACCACATCTAGAATGAGAGAAACATTTTTGTCAGGTGTTAATGTAAAAAATGATAGTGTACGAGATTAGTGTACAAACGGGTGTACAAACATTAGTGTACATTACGTATGAATGTACAAAGATTACTTCAATTAAATAGTGTACAAACGGTTGTACAAACATTAGTGTACATTACGGGTGTACAAACATTAGTGTACATTACGGGTGTACAAACATTAGTGTACAAACGGGTGTACAAACGGGACAAACGGGTGTACAAACATTAGTATACAAAATGTTATTTATAATACTGGTGATAGAAAAATATACAAATTAAAGAAAAGAATAAAATAATTTTATCTATTATTCCTAAAAAATAATTTTTGATCTATTATTCCTAAAAATTTGGATCCACATCAAAAGTTCTTTCTCACAACAAAAAGGATAGAATTGTATTTGACATTTATTTTGTCATTTACTATACTACATATATATTCTATCTCACAAAAGCAAAAAAAAAGTGTCTATTCTTCGTATTTCTAAAAAAACTACCTATTTCTCAAATTTTAGAAAAATGTCTACTTTACTAAAACCCCATCTTATTTTATGGGATACTATTAAGATTATATAAGGATTGATATCTAAACTTTTCTTTTAACAAAAACATATACAAATAACTAGCTTCTCTAAAGTTAAGAAGAACTGAACCAATATCAAATTATTTTGCAAACTAAATCAATTCATTTCATGGTATAACTAACATGGTCTCGTCACGGTGCAATCATTAATATATAAGTTATAGCAAACATATAATAATCCAGCTATGATAAAATAACATATTGTAAAACTTGTCCGAACAAGTTGGGATGATATTGTAATAGAATAAGTGAATAACTATAAAACCCATTCTAGACAATGCATTAAAAATGATAATATATGATTAAAGAAATAAGCACGTCGAGTCACTTCCATTCCTACCTGCCAAATCGCTGGCTTCTTATTATTATCCTCGACTTGAACCGGCTTGGCTCAAGATCAATTAGTCCGGTTTTTGACCGTTTAACCAAAATTCATAATCGACAAAATTGGCAATTAAAGCTTGTTTTGTTAGAGATATCGTTAGTTTATTATAAATTGAGTGTAGAAGTCGTAATTATTTTCATTTTCAGTATTTTACTATAATTTATTGCTCGAAAAAAAGTTTGTGAAAACGGGTATAAAATGCCAATACTAAACCACCGGTTTGGTTTAGCCTATTAAGCTGCAAGCCGAGTAAATTAAACGTGGTGCGACAAACAATACGATTCTCCGCAACTTCTTCATAAATCCTTCGACCTTTCTCCTTTTTTTTTCTTGTTCACTACGTAAACCCAACAACACTTGTGTAGTTGTGTATACATATAAATATGTATATACACAATGTTATCTCACAAACACAAAACACAAATTAGCAAATTCTAAGAGAGGAACAAAAAAAAAAACAAGATCAGCCTTTGAATTCAAAAAAATCAGTAGAAGGAGGATGAGAAGCGTGGTGAAGAAGTTACTATGGTGCGGAGCGAAGAACAATGCTTCTTCGAGAACATCGGCATTACCAGAAGAAGGGAGAGTTCGGGTTTTCGTAGGTAAAGATAGAGAGAGTCAATGCAAGCTAGAAGTTGAGGCTAATTTGCTAAACCATCCAATGTTGGAAGATCTATTGAGGCTGTCTGAGGAAGAATTCGGACACTCGTATGAAGGAGCTTTGAGGATTGCTTGCGAGATTGATGTCTTCATCAAACTGGTTAATCTACACAAAACAACTAATCATCATAACAATTCTCTTTGTTGTAACAATAATTCCACAAAATTATCGTAGCTTTTATTATACCTCTCTTATTCATCATTCTTTAATTCAAAGAAGGAAGGAAAAAAAATGGACGAAATTCGTTTCCTTTTTTTTTTATATATAATTTATTTATTTATAGAGTCGAATGTCTATGGACATTTGTATTAGTAATGACTTCATCAAGTCATACATCCATCTTCTTTTTTATTTTTTCGACAAAGCTTATATTAATTCAAATGTGAAATTACTTAATTAGTCATGGTGAATATATCATTGTTCATAATCATATATGAATATATAATATAACTCGAATCAAATCAAGAATGAGTGAATGGGTCAATGGTTCTTGGCTGAATTGGAATCTCGTTTTACATGCTTGAACTTATGACAATGTATTTTTGTTGTCTAGTAGAGAATATCCTTGCAGAAGTTGGTGATGCTTATGCCTTTGGATTTTTATGTAAAACGTTGTTTAGAACAAGTTAATCTCATTTTCACAAAAAAATATTAAAAAATAACAAGTTAATCTCCTTCAAAGATTATATGAAAACAAAAGATGAATAGGCCCGGTTGATTAGTATAAATAAGTCACCCGAAAATAGTGTGTTAAATTGTAAATCGAAGTGAACCGGTTATGTCATCTTCCACATTCACGGACTTCTTTGCTCTGTTAATATCTCGAGCTGCTATCTTAAGGATGACTAATCTGTTAGATCACTTCAATATCATGACTTGCAATATAAGCATACGTATCCAGGGACCAAATGGTTGCAGTAAGAAAAAATAAACCAGTATATATGTAAACCCAAACATAATTATAACTAAGATCATTCGGTTCTATTTTTATTTAATTATATCCACATAAAATGATGCGGACATCAAACCTATTGAAGGACTAGCTGAGCTATTTGCTGAAGGACTCCCTGAAAGACTCACTGAAGGAATCGCTGACGAACCATTTTTACACTCTAACCATCAGTTGAGCGCGGGCTTGAAAATCCAACAGCAATATGAAAATCTTATGAAGAATCATCGAGCCGCCTACAGTTATTATCGAGTTGGATCAAACGATGGTCGAGAAACCATCAATTTACCTTACCCGAAGACCAAACCGGAACCAAACAAGGAAAGTCTCTTACCACGTCTTTACTATTCCATTTTGAAGCCTCTAGCTCGTGTGGAAGCTTCTAAAAGTCTGAAGACACGCTCCTTGCCATTAAAGGAAGAAATATCCTCCATTGAAGACACTTACCATATTCGTACCCGAGAGGATCAAGCCATTGAAGCTGCCAATATTCTCAAGACATCTAAGCCTCCTTTTCAACCAGAAGACTCAAGCCACGAGGTTATTTCTCCTTCTCCAAGACGTCTCCCACTTCTTTCCATAACCGGCACCAACGCATCACCACAACTTATTCCCAACGGCTAGAAGATCACATCCTCTCCAAGTTATCATTTATTTCGCATATTTGTTTCCTAGTTTTCATTTCTTGACTGTTGGAGGTCTCTTTGTTTCGAGCCTATATAAGCTCTTCTTCCTTGTTCTTTTCATTCATGCAATTTTTAAGTAATAAAAAGTTCAGTTTGTTTGCTTTCAAAGTTAGAGTCTTTGAGCATTTGTTTGAGTCATTCTCTTTGTGAGATTTCCCCTTAGAGCTTGTCTCGTGAGTCCCTTAACCTTGTGTGGTTTCCCCTTGGTTAATTGATTCGTTCTGGTTACTATTCGACTCTGTCACCACCGTTACAACACTTCCGCAAGCCATTAAGCATTGAATTCCTGAACTACCTCTTGATATAGAAAGGATTGACTCCGATCGTGTATCATAAAATTAGACAAACGGTCATCGGCGTCAAACGACATATTCATGAAATCTGCACGATGTGGACTTTTCTCTTTTCGTCATTCTAGATCTATTGGCCTTAATTAAGTAATTTCCAGTTTGTGAATCTTCCATCTCCGGTTTGATTCTTGCTTTTTTTCTGGCTAAGTTTTGGTTTACTACCTTATGTCACTTATGTAATATAGTTTTCTCTCCCTTTTCCTTTATGGTTTGGATCCATTTTTGTCGTCGTATTTCGTCTCCTAAATTCTTTGTTGTATACTCTTATTCTTCAAATCCTCCATCATTCAGAATTAGGTTGCGGCTTGAAGTTTCCTCGGAAGGTGGGAGATTTTGGTGGTGTTTTGAAGTAAAAATGGGGCTGGGATGAAGAGGCAACCAATCCGCATGTATGTATTTGTTGGTGTCTTATAGATTGGAGTTTGTTGTCTTGGCGGTTTTTAGAGATGTTTAATGATGCTTGAAGGGGTCAATTTTTTTTTTCTTGGCAGCAGTGGCGGAGACAAAAAAATTGTTTATAGGGGTCATTTTTTTTATATAAAATATATATAATTTTATTTTTAAAATAAAATATAATCAAAAAATAATTTTTAAATATCTATCATAGAATAATTTATAACTTGTAAATGTTTTATTACTTTTTTGTTTGTCACAGTGTTACGTATTTTTCATTCAAAAACTAGACAATTATTTGAAATTGTATCAACGATATGATTATGTGAAGTCGTTTTCAAAATATTCATAGTAAAGAATTTTTTTTGTTTAACTGTTGCAATTCCAAATTAAAACATCAAAAATAGTTTTAAAAGTCCATAAATAAATAAAAATGAGACATATTTGTCTTTGTAATATATCAGGCAAATCTTCAAAACGTTTCATGTCAAACTAAATAGTATATAAATTTGAACTTAAAATTTATTTCCAATATGATTTTCAATGGATAGTGTTAATTGAAATAGAAGAAAAAGAAATAAATTTATAAAATAGCAAAAGAATAGTGATAATTAGGTTAAACTCATTTTAATGGATATATTTTTATTTTTTTATTTTTAAATTTATTTGTAATGATTTTAGTTATAATATTTTTTTTGATATATAATATTTAGTGGTTTTCTCTTAAATTAAAATTTGATGGGAGTCAAATTTTATTTTGTAATGGGGTCAATCTATAAATGATTAATCAAATTAAACTAAGTTTTAAAAATCTATGAGGGTCAATTGACCCCCATAGTATAACACTACCTCCTCCACTGATTGGTAGTTCGTAGGGCACGGATTGAGCTCGTGTTATAAACATATTTCACATGTACATTTCAAAGTTTTGACTTTCTTTTTAACTTTCAAATTTTTGGGCTTTCGAGGGCAAATCATTTTGTGAGTGTAAAATAGAGTCGTTCCTAAGAAAATGAAGGGCAATGTATATTCTCCAATTTCACTAATGATCAACCAAATATGCCCAAGGCAAAAATAAACACAAAAGAGAACCTAGTTCTATGAGGAATCAAACCGTATTATAGAGGTTGTCTCGATTTACATAAAAGATTGGATGGATCAAGACATCATGTTCATCTCTCTGTCAATTAAACCCGACAAATAACAATAAGTGGTTCGCAGCTGAAAAATGGTGCAAACTTAGATACAATAATTTATTGTTTAAACTCTTAAAGACCTTAAATTATGCTGGATTTTGTTGAGTCTAGTTAGCTCTGTCAAATCTTTCGAGTCGTCAAGTGTCTAGAATCATTCTTGTTCATGTTGGAACTTGTTTTTGACAAAGTGGTGCCGACCACTTTTTGCATGGTTTTTCGGTGAGAAGCAGGGCCGTAACTGAGCACAGCCGGGTGAAACATTCGTGTTGGGCCCCCAAATTTTTAACGAGTAATATGTATAGATTTTGGGGGCCCCAAACAGTAAAAAAAATATTTATATATAGATTATGAGACCCCCAAACCGTAATTGTTTGTGGCCCCATAACTCGTAGGGCCGGCCCTGGTGAGAAGTTATTCGTCGGTATATTCCAACGACCCAAGTGATTATATATCTTTATATTTTCAAATTTGTATAAGTTATTACTGATTAATATTCTTCTTTAAAATTGAGGTTTATAAGAAAAGAAAAATCGATATACAACATTAAGGTGAGAATCAATGTTCATTAATAAATCGAATTATGCTCTTTATTGCACCAACATTTGAGCACTTCTTTAATATATCCAAGCCATGTCTTTTCATTTTAATAATCAAGTTCTTCTATACTTTCGTGTCTGAGAGTATTCACTAAAACTTCTGTACTTTGATGTTGAGAGTCTGAAAAAATATTACAGTTGTGAATTTTTGGTTTCTTACCGCAACTGCATGTCCTTGATGTCTCGTCTCTACAATTGCCTTTCATCTTTCCGATTTTATATTGTATTATTGATTTATGTCCTTTAGTTATTATTAATTTTTAAAGAAAATCTTTATTCATATCATTTATTTGAACATTTTTTATTTATCAATTAAAAACTCAGGCTAGCTCCTACATGAATAATCAATATATTTATATGTGATCTCCACTTGTTCCTGAAGACAAATGCAGAGTTATGACTTTTATGGATTGGCTGCTTGAACAGAAAGTAACGAAAAGACTTTTGACTTTGCGTAATGCAAAAATAACGGCAGCATGAAAAGAGGTTCCCTCCGCCTCTTCATCTGCCTAAGTTACCGGTCAACAAGCACTTCTCTATTTCTGTTGTTTTTTTTTTCTTACAAAATAAATTATAAACATATATTAATTATTTAATTATTCTGACTTTCCTTAGAAATGATGCATGGTGAAAAAGTACAAATATTCATAAACAAAAAAACAGAGGTAATATTATCAATTCAATAAATACGTATTCGTTTTTTATTAATAGAATAGTTTTATTCAAAATATTTATTAAAAAAAAACTCTTAAACAGTTGGTTTACTTCAAAATTAGATATAAAATTTATTAATTTACCCGAAATTTTTAAAGATTATTAAAAATATTTGAAATATTAAAAAAATAAAACAAATAAATTTGTAAACTATTTACATCCCACAATCTTATGATATATTTATTTGAAAATATATATATATATATACATTATTATTTGGCAATATATATATTTCAAATATGATATCATTTTCGGACATTTACATTTGCTGTAAATTGTATAAGGTTAATAAAAAGTCAACTGTTAAATTTGACTAAAGTTTGGACTAAATAAGTTGAAAATCTTCAAATCACTAAAGATTTTGTAATGTTTATATGTTTAATCCTTTGCCCAAAAAAAAAAAAGCTTATATATGTTTAATCCATGTTTCAATAAATCATACTTTAATGCACAGAAAATATCAAATCCCATTACCGAAAAATCGATTAATCTATATTTCTTACAGATCACACACTCATCCACATTTTTTCTTGTCATTACATATTCAGTTAATATAATAACAAATTGTAATGATGCATTTTGATGCGGGTAAAGTAAATATTAATAAATCTACTAGACAAGTTCCTTTTTTAAAGTATTTATTTCAGATTTGAGATTTGTCAGATATTTTTAAGAGAAAAGAGAATCTCAGAAGGTGAGCCTCCAAAAAAGCGTGAATCTCTCTCTCTGACTCTCTCTCTCTCTCGAGATCTCATCACCGGGAGATCTCACGGCGGTGGTGTTGGTGAAAGTTGACCAGAGATGGCGGCGGAGAATGAGAGAAAATCTCCATCTGCAGTCTCCGATATGGGAGCTTGGGCAATGAATGTGATAAGCTCCGTTGGAATCATCATGGCGAATAAACAACTAATGTCTTCTTCTGGATTCGCATTTAGTTTCGGTTCGTCTTCTTCTTCTTTTCCGATCTCTCAATTTTGATTTGAGATCTGATGATTTTCCGATTGTTTTTCAGCTACAACTCTCACCGGATTCCACTTCGCTTTAACCGCATTGGTCGGTATGGTATCGAACGCTACCGGATTCTCTGCATCGAAGCATGTTCCTATGTGGGAGCTTATTTGGTTCTCCATTGTTGCTAATGTCTCTATCGCTGCTATGAATTTCAGTCTCATGCTCAATTCCGTTGGCTTTTACCAAGTAATTCCTCTTTCGATTCTTCTCGATCTCGATCTTTTTCGTATATAACCGAATTTGAGTGATAAGTAGCTTTTGCATTATTGGATTCACATATAGACTTTGATTTTGGAGTATTGGATTTGCATATAGACTTTGATTTTGGAGTATTGGATTTGCATATAGACTTTGATTTTTGGTTTATTGGATTCACATTGTTTGAATCGGTTCTGTGTTGATTAGATCTCGAAGCTGAGCATGATTCCTGTGGTGTGTGTTATGGAATGGATTTTACACAGCAAGAGATACTCAAGAGAAGTGAAAATATCTGTTGTGGTTGTTGTTGTTGGTGTTGGTATTTGTACTGTGACTGATGTTAAGGTTAATGCCAAGGGATTTATTTGTGCTTTTGTTGCGATTTTCTCGTCATCGTTGCAGCAAATTGTAAGTTTTTTTTTGATGGTTTGTTTGTTTAATTGGTTTTGAAGCTTGGAATCAAATCTGATATGTTGGTGTTTTCTTTCTTTGTTGCTAGTTAATAGGTTCTCTGCAGAAGAAATATTCAATTGGGTCTTTTGAGTTGTTGAGTAAAACAGCGCCGATTCAAGCTCTTTCGCTCCTTGTTGTTGGTCCTTTAGTTGATTATCTTCTTAGTGGGAAGTTCATTATGAACTACAATATGTCTTCCGGTTGCTTTGTAAGTATCTCTCTCCATGCCTCTGCTAGTAATGTTACGTTGTTATTGTTGTCTAATACACTCTACCATTTGCAGCTATTCATCCTTCTCTCGTGTGCTCTAGCTGTGTTCTGCAACATAAGCCAGTACCTTTGCATCGGGCGGTTTTCAGCAGTGTCGTTCCAGGTTATAGGTCACATGAAAACGGTGTGCATCCTCACGCTTGGATGGCTCCTTTTTGATTCTGCAATGACTTTCAAAAACGTAGCGGGCATGATTGTTGCGATTGTTGGGATGGTAATCTATAGCTGGGCAATGGAATTGGAGAAACAGTCTCTTATTGCAGCAAAGGCTTTGAACAGTGTGAAACACAGTTTAACAGAAGAAGAATTTGAACTTTTTAAGGAAGGTGTAGAAACTACGCAATCGAAAGATGTTGAACTTGGCCGCACAAAAGATTAGACAGATGGATAGAAAGAAACATAGTCTTCAGGTACAATTTGTTCTGTTATAATTTTGTATGTTTTGTGTTATCTAAACCAAGAGATCGGATCCTCGGAGATTAGTGTCTAGGCTTCGATCTAAAGTTTCTTTGGTTATACAGATGTTTTGTGTTATTTATATCTTTATCCAATTCCATGGAAATAACATCAATGACACACATGTTATTGTTTTACAGAGCACTCAAAGAGTATATTCCTTTATTTGTAGTTCTTCTTATAGAATATGACAACAAATAAAGAGTATATTCCATTTCCTCACAAATAAAGAGTATATTTCATGGTATGAAACATCAAGACAGAGAAAAGAAAAATAATAATGTATAAGACTTAACTTTTGATAAAACATTAGTTTGCTCCCAAGTAATGTGAAACCTCGAAATGACTCAGGCCAAAGTAAATATTATGTTATAAATATTATGAAGAAAACTTCAGCCATGCTTGTGATTTGAATAACACCATAATTTATTGCAATATTATGAAGAAAACCTGCAAGCAATAAGTAAATTAATCATCATCTGAAAAACACAATGCATTAAATTTGTTAGCGTTCTCAAAATGATATTTCTCCAGGTGATCAGCACCGAGTCTCACTTGATGATCATCTCTAAGTGGGTTAACTCTTCAGTTCTGGTGGGCTTATAGATGTTGCATCATATTCATATGTTGTCTTCATAGTAGTACTACACTTAAGATCTTCTACATTGTCTACAAAGGCGTAAACTCTATTCCATTCTTGGTCTTCTCCAAAACCTTGGATTTCAACACTTAGAAGAGTGTTCCTTGCATGATTAAAGTAGAAGACATAAAATGGCTTACATGCCCTTCTCTTTCGCCAAAACAATTTCACCTTTAGCCGTCATCCCAACAATAAAAAGATTGTTTAACGACTTTATTATCAGCCCACAAAGTGTAGACATATGTTGTCCATTTCCGTTTCTCGATATCCTCTAGAACCCACATACATAAGTTATGGGGAAATCCACCATCATAAGCATACCTCAAATTAATCACACCTAATTTACCTTTATAGATTATCAATTGAGTAGACCATTCACAAAAGCAGTTTGGCTTTAGATCTAGAAACTTGATTTTTTGGCTTTGGATCTAGAAACTTGAATTTCTAAGACTTAATATCAAAGCAAACTAACTGCTTATAGTAAGCTAGGTAATACAAAACCCGGCCCGTTGATGCATATCCAAACATCATGGATCAAGGGACATTGTTTGGATCTTCCTCCATCCCCAAACATGTATGTTCGATTATGACTCTAAAGGTTCTTGAAATCTGACTTCTATTGTAAATTATCCTAATGGTGTAGTAATAATTCCAATGAAAAGACTATAGAGATCCATAAGCTTTTGGTTAGGCTTGTTCTAAGCAATCAAATCAAGCATTAAGAATAGAATCCAATAATAAATTCACAAAACATGATAACATCAACTTGTGGTTTGGTCGGTTAAAGAAGCTTTGACTATCTTTAATAGATCCATCAATTGAACATCACATATGGTGACTTGAGGAATTAGATCATGGCAATAGGAATTGGCCTACTTCATTTAAGGCCTTAAGAACAATTAAAGACAGAGAACTGACCGGTCAAATCATAACAGAGAAATACACATCAAGTTTTACATCAAGTTTGATCATGGCAATACCAATTGGTGAAAGTCCTTGATGAAACTACTCACACATGACCTAGGTACATGTGATCATTGTAAAACAAAGATCAAGAATTTAGAAGGAACTACCAAAGGGTTTTAGAAATCTTAAAGCAAAAATAAACAAAGAAGAAAAAGAAGAGAAAAACACCTTAAAACTCTAAAAATCATAAAAAAAAGTATGCTCGGCAAATGAGGAATAGAGGGTATAAATAGGTGGGCGGCGTACCGACTAGTTTGATTGCTCCACCGATCGGTACGCTTAATGGATCATGTCTTCTCTTGACGCGTTTTGGTCGACTTTTTCCTCTAAAATCCTATTTATGTTCTGCAGGTCCAAAACCTTGAAAACACTAAAATATATCGAAAACGACTTGTTCTTGACTAAAAGACTCGATAAAATAAATTATAGAAACCTATAAAATGTGATAAAAATATCACTTAACAATGTTGAAATTTCGGGTGACAACAGTCCTAAAAGGAGAATATTTTAGAAAAGACTACAAAAATATAAATCAAAACCGTTAAATTTAAAATTTTACAAATTAAATCTTAATCCTATTCACTGATTCTTCTCCACGTTTAGAAATTGTCTTGGTGTCGATGAAAATCACAAACTTCACCGAAAATTTCTGGCATTCATGTCCTCGCTTGGTACTTGGTGAATTTTTGAAATCGAATCATATGCCTACTTAATCCAATTTGATGCGCCCCTCTTTTGAAGTTTTGGAACCATTCGTTATTCACCAACATTAGTAACGTCGAGTACTCAATTAAGGTCCGATTTAGAGAAAACAAAAACTTTAGTTCCCAAAACATAAATCTCTAACAATATAACGTATATAAAATAGAAAATCGAAACTTGTTTTGTAATTGTTGTAGTCTGAAATAATTTACCCAATTATTCCAATATGTAACGAACTTCACTTGTGTAATAAGAAAGACTACAAACATAACTAATTACATCTACCTATGGAGTAAGACTACATAAGTCGACATAATTCTTCCAACAACTCCACCACTTGATTCATAGTAGGCCTTTCTCTAGTCGACTCTTTAATACAAAGACAAGCAATCCTAAAATACTCTTCCACACCCTTCTCACTACCACCAACACCTCCGAAATCTAACATTTCATAACACCGACTTTGCTCCACCATGATCACAGCCCATTGAGCCAACCCAACTTCCTTCTCATCCACAAAAACCGTTAAATTCGGCCGTCTCCGCGTTGCCAATTCCAACATCAAAACACCAAAACTATAAACATCAGCTTTAACTGTCGCTGCGGTATTCCCTTCCCAATACTCCGGGGGCATGTACCCCATCGTCCCTGCCACTTGCGTCGACACATGAGACCTCGACTCATCCATTCTACGCGCCAACCCGAAATCCGCTATATGTGCAACAAAATCCGAATCCAACAACACATTACTCGATTTAATATCTCTATGAATAATCGGCTTCGGTAGTCCATGAAGATAAGCTAAACCCTTGGCCACATCGCGCGTGATATTCACGCGTGTTGGCCAAGTCAATGGACTGTTCTCATCATCAGTCTCGTGTAACCAATAATCGAGGCTACTTTTCTCTAAGAACTCGTAAATCAGAATCCGATCCAATCCGGATATACAATAACCGAGAATCCGAACTATGTTTGGGTGTTTGAGACGACCTAGAGTGTCCATTTCCGCTGCGAATTCACGGAATCCTTGTAAAGCATCGTGATCGAGCTTTTTAACGGCGACTACGACGCCGTTTGAGAGCTGAGCTTTATAAACGAGACCGAAACTTCCGTCGCCGACGATTAGATCAGATGAGAAGTTTTTTGTTGCTATAGTGAGTTCCGCCATGGATATTTCACAGATTGATGGATCAAAGCTTTCGGTTACGGTTTCAGTGTTTAGATCGGGATCGGGGAAGTTAAGACTCCGGCGAGGATGGTTTTCGATTGGAGGACGACGACGACATACCAACATAACGACGGCGAAGACGATTAGTAAGAGGAAGATGGAGCTTGTGCTGGTGGCTAGGATTAGTGAGGTTTGGTAATCCATGGATACTGTTTTGGGATTAGTATGAGATTGAGAGAGAGAGATTGAGAAAGAGAGAGAGTAAGAGATGATCCGCCATTGATAGTGACGGAGGAGGAAGTGTAAGGTTTGATTGAGTCGTAGATAAGACGAGTCAACGATTGTTGTTGGAGAAGTCTACGGAAGTAGTGCACGTGTCTTGATGATATTGGTGGTTACGAAGTTGGTGTAAAATGCTTGAAAAATCGAATATTCGTTAACTTGAGTTAAAAGTTAAAAATATTATAAGCTGAATTATATAACTACAAGTTAATGCTCACAAAACGGAAAACGTGTTTAAACATAAACTATCTAAAGTCATTTACAGACCGAATATGAACTTTTTTTGACATAGAAAGTTAGGAATATAAACTCAAAGCTTTTATATTTAAACTCAAACGAAAAAGCAAAATATTATTTTTCATTTTCGTCATCAATAAAATTGACTCATGTATTAGCTTACACATATGCGAAACCAAAACGAAAATCGAGGATACGTAGGTTCTGATTGGTAGCCGCGTAATAGCGGAATGACGTTTTCTAATGTGATTGTGCAAAAAATTTGCCAATCAAGAAAATCTTGATAATCACATTAGAAAATGCAAAAACGCAAGATTTGCATTTTCGCCTAAAAAACAGAAGTAAAATCTTATTATGTGCAGAATAATTTTATACACACCAAATATTAGCAACTAAAAATACAAGAAAATAAATTTTTTACTATGAAACCTATACCATTTTCGAGTAATATTTAAAAATTTCACAATGTTTTAACAATTTTGAAAAAACAAAGAAATGGTGAGAGGGCTGCCAAGCTTTGTTGACACTGATGTTGTGTGCACAGATTGCTTGAAAGGGAAACAACATAGAGAGGTTATTCCAAAGAAAGCCATGTGGAGAGCTTCTGAAAGATTGGAGCTAATCCATGCTGATATTTGTGGTCCAATCTCACCAACATCAAACGGTGGAAAAAGGTACCTCATCTACTTCATTGACGATTTTAGTAGAAAGGCTTGGGTACACTTTCTGGTTTACAAAGCTGATGCATTTGCTTTCTTCAAGCAATTTAAAAGTAGTGTAGAGAAAGAAACTGGTTTTTCTATTAAGTGCTTGAGAACTGATCGTGGTGGAGAATTTACATCGACTGAATTCAATGATTATTGTAGAGACAATGGAATCAAGAGACAGTTGACTACAGCTTATACGCCACAACAAAATGGCGTTGTAGAGAGGACAAACAGAACCGTGATGAACATGGTAAGAAGTCTACTAGTGGAGAAAAATATTCCAAAGAATTTCTGGCCTAAAGCAGTTACTTGGGCATTTTACATTCTCAATCGATCTCCAACAACTTCAGTGAAAGACACGACACCGGAGGAAGCTTGGAGTGGAGTAAAGCCTTATGTGGAACACTTGAGAGTGTTCGGATGTATAACACATGCTCATGTACCTGATGCTCGACGAACAAAGCTTCAAAATAAGAGTCGCAGCTGTGTTTTATTTGGAATGAGTGCAGAATCAAAAGGATATATGCTCTACGTACGATCCTGTATCCAAGAAGATCGTTTTTAGTAAAGATGTTGTCTTTGAGGAAGAGAAAGAGTGGAATTGGGATGCAAGTGTTTGCGTCAACGTCAGTGTCAGCGATGTCTCCCCAAAGAAGGTAAATACTTGATCATTAGTTTGTACGTTGATGATTTGATCTTTACTGGAAATGATGAGGCAATGATGAAGGAATTTAAGGAATCTATATTGAAAGAGTTTGATATGTCTGATCTGGGAAGGATGAACTATTTCCTTGGCTTAGAAGTGGTACAGTCTGATGGGAGAATCTTTATTAGCCAAGCCAGAAGAAGTATGTGAAAGAAGTGCTGAAAAAATTTGGATTCAAAATTCATAAGGATGAAGACGGAGTTAAAGTCGATGGTTCACTCTACAAGCAGCTAGTGGGGAGCATGATGTACTTGACAGCCACAAGGCCGGACGTAATGTATGCTGTCAGTCTCATCAGCAGGTATATGTCCCAACCAACTGAGCTTCATCTATCAGCAGCTAAGAGAATTCTAAGGAATCTACAAGGCACCTCTGGTTATGGAATTCTCTACAAAAGGGCAGGAAACCGGGAGCTTGTAGGCTTCACTGACAGTAATTATGCAGGATGTGTGGAGGACAGAAAGAGTACATCAGGGTATGCATTCATTCTAAGCGATGCAACAGTAGCTTGGTCGTCTAGAAAGCAACCCATTGTCACTTTGAGTACAACAGAAGCTGAATTTGTAGCTGCTGCAGCTTGCACTTGTCAAATGGTTTGGATGAAAAGGATATTGAAGAAGATCGGTTATGAAGGAAACACAAGTCCAGTCATTTTCTGTGATAACAGCTCAACTATCAAGCTATCAAAGTACCCGATAATGCATGTTAAGACTTCATGAGAGATCTGGTGAATGAAGGGGCTGTGCAACTTAAGTTTTGTGGCACTCAACAACAAATTGCAGACATATTTACCAAGCCACAGAAGTTAGAGAAGTTTCAAGAGTTCAGAAAGAAGTTGGGGGTCTGTGATGAAGCAACGTTAAACAAGCTCTGTCTAGTTTAGGAGAGGGAATGATAAGATTAAGTTTATTAGCAGTTTTAGTTTATGTCCGAATGTTCGGGGCACTTTGTTATTTGATGTTATTTGTTTCAGTCAAATGCAATCACGTTAGACCACGTTTAGCACTCTGTTTCTCATTTCCTGTAAGGCTATTTAAGTCATTGTTATTTGCTCAATGAAGTTAGTTTTCCAGAAATTGTTCTTTGCAATGGATGCTAAAGAATTAATTGGTGTTGTTATTAGACCATCGGCCTGGCCAAAACTAAAGCCTATAAAAAATTTGCTAATGCACGTGTTAGTTTCGAACAAGGCGGACTATCAAAATGCAATCGCCAAAGACGAAAAAAAAAAAAAATTGCAATCGCAATTTCTCCATACCAAAGCTAGTACTAAACAGTGAAAGACGGATTTCCTTGATACTAACCGGATTATTAGAATCAAACAAATTCTAAAATTAATCAAATGATACATACACTTTCTAGATACTGTAACCTTATCCTCCCAATCCATTACGCAGAAACAGTCAGACCCAATAATTCAACATTCCTCTTTGTTACGTAATCCTAAAAATATTTTCAGATTTGATTGCTTTTCTTTTTTATTCTTCCTTTTTGGGTTTAAATCTTCATCATTGTAATTTGATTTAATTGGAATCAACATTTTATATCTATCTAATAAACTGTAGCTCAATTATTTTCGGGAATCCTTTTTTCAGCCATGGGTAAATCAAATTCCGGCATGTCAAAAATTCTATCTACCAAGTTAAGTACCCGGAACTTGGTAAGAATTATTTCGCCATCGTCTGATTCTAAAAATATTCAACATCCGTAAAAAATTATACAAGTTTGTTCATAGGGTTATTCATACTCAAATATAAATCTAATTCACAAAGACACAAAAAACAGGTTTTTGTTTCAAAGAAAACGAAATCAAAGTTTGTAAAAATAATCCAAGGTTAAAAAAAAGTTGAAGAGTCAGAAATCTCGTGTGGAAAATCGACGCTCATCGCGACAATAAGACACTAGCGTTCGATATAAATTTTGATTTCATCATTTTCCTCTAAAATAAAAAAAAAATCGAATCTTAAATCAAAACTCAGAACGAAAAAATAAAAAGTGCAGATTCATTCAAGAATTGAAGATAAATTAGATTTGAAGTAGAAGACGGAAACAGAGAGATAAAGATGTCTTTATATAAGGCACAATTTATTTGCCCTAATTTTGCAGTTATTGGGCTTTTAGGCCCAATAAGAAAACGGGTTCACATTTGTCTCCTTAGGGTTGGGAAGGATCTAGATATCACGTTAAGAGTTCTAATTTTGGGCTTAATCTGTATACAGGCCTTGACTGGTACAGTATACAAGTGAGCATATATATAATAAAGGGGAAAAATATCAAAAAGAAAAGTTTGAGCATATAATAAAAGGGAAAAATGTCAAAAAAAGCATCAACTTTCTAAAAGTGTTGAAAGAAAATATCCACTTTAGTTGTGGTGAATTAAACACCAACTTTCAATTAAATCGTTAAGTCAACTGACGGATCTATTTAACGGGGTTAAGTCAATATCGTTAAACCGTAAAACAACGTCGTTTTGTATTTTTTTTTTTTTAAGAACAAATCTGAGATTTGAACCAAATTCCCTTGAGAGAAGATATTAACCAACTGAGCTAAACTGTTTTATTGACAATTTCACACACACATATATACCATATATGTGGATAAAATTATTTTTTCTATAATTAAAATTTAAAATTTGTTTACTTAAATTTGTTTTTTTTTTATAATATCAAACTTTCAAGTTTAAAACTAAAACATTTTTATAATAAACAAAATCGTAATTTCATTTATGTTAAATTATACAGTATTAAATATTAATTTGTATCATAAATTAATTTTTATTAATAATAATAAATAATAATGTATAAATATTTATTTTAATTTTTATTATAAAATAATTTATATAAATTTATTTTAAAGTCATGTCATCTACTGGTTGAGCTTGAGTACAAGGCCATGTGGGCGGTTAAGCTTTTAAATTTTGATATCAAGACCGCCGCGGAGAAGAGGTTGATCCAATTGAATGATCTTGATGAGATTCGTTTAGACGCCTATGAGAATTCAAAAATCTACAAGGAGAAAACTAAGGCGTTTCATGACAAGAAGATCATTTCAAGAGATTTCAAGGTAGATGATCAAGTGTTGTTGTTTAATTCCCGTTTGAGATTCTTTCCGGGAAAGCTCAATTCTCGTTGGTCGGGTCCGTTTAAGATCAAGGAAGTAAGGCCATATGGAGCTTTTGTGTTGAGGAACAAGAATGGTGGTGAGTTTGTTCTTTGTTGTGAATGGTCAACGCTTGAAACCATACATGGCAAATGATCAAGTCGAGGAAGGAACCACGGTTTCTCTCTCGAAGCCTCAATCCGCCTAAGTGGCGAGAAAACGTCAAGCTATGTGACGCAAAACAAGCGCACTTGGGAGGCAATCCCATGGTATCCTTGTATATACTTGCTTTATTTTGTTTTGTTTCATGTTTTTATTGATTTTGGTTATAGGTCTTATGAGAAGTGAGGTTTCATGAAGATTTGAGGGGTTTATTGCGTGAGCCCGTTGGCGAGATGTCTTTTGATCCATTTCAGGTTAAAATAAGGATGATACACATTTAAATGGATAGAAAAGCAAAGAAGGTTCAGAACCAGTTGAAAACGTCTCAAAGATTGACTCAGATGAAGATCTTGTATTGAGATTTAGCTTCGGGTCTCTTCACAAAAGTTATAGGAAATTGAGTTAGCTTACCAATGGTGGGGATTTCATGGCGGATTTAGTGGACGTATGTCAATCTGGCGCGGAAATGAGCAAAGAGAGAAGAAGGCATTCATTTCCAGTGACTTCCGCGGCCATCTCCATCGGGCAAGTGTTAACCGATAGCTGGTTTGGAGGAAAATGCCAGGGAGTTCAGCGGTTTGTTCCACCGGGCAAATACAGACCGGTTGGTGTCAACGGCTCACTCAATCGACGAAGTCTCCACCGTTGGAACCCAGGTAAGTCAACTCATCTCTTGTTGACCGGTTTAGTTCGGTCTAATTTAAGTGAACCCAGCCCAATTTAAAATCAATTTAGCTGGTTTATTTCTCCTTCTTCTCCCACAAATCGATCTTTTCTTTCTTCTCCCACAAGCTCTTCACTTTCACAACACCAAAACTTTGATTTCTCTCTCAATTCTTCACCAAATTCTCTGAAATCACTTGCTTTCATTCCGAAATCTTGCACCCAACTGATTAATTCCTTACCCAAATCCCGGATTTCATCTCTCTCTCCATCGATTTTAAGGTATGGACACTATTTTCAAACTCTTTCAAGTTTTTGTTGCAAGAACTTAAATGTTAAGCTTGATTGAGTTCGATTCTTCGAGAAAACGCGTTCTAATGGTGTTTATGCTTGTTATAATCGATTCCCTAGTTGAATTTGAGCTTGATTGATTGAAATTTTAAAATTTCACATGTTAGGGTTCTTGAGAGAAGAGAATTAAACGGAAATTTTGGGAATTCTTTGGGATTGTGATTTCATTGGAACTAATTAGGCTCATTAAGCCTCAGATTGAAAGACTACTTGATTTGAGAACAATGTGTGTTCATGTTTCAAGTTTTAGAAGTGAGAATGATGAATTGTGTGATTCATGGTGCTCTTGAATTGTGTTGTTGGTGTTTTGTATGGCTTTGTTCTTGAACTTGTGATGATTAAAACTGTTTAGTTGTGCTCCTCATGACATAATTCCTTCACTTATGATTTGATTCACACTCTTGTCGCTCCTTGTGAGCAAGACTAACGTTTTTCGAAAAGTGTTTCTATCATTTTGAAGGTTACTAATGAAGACAACTACAAAACGTGCGGGTGAAAAAGAACAAGAACAAGTGCTACCTCCAACAACAAAAGGGAACAGAAAAGCACAAGCGAAGCCTTCCAAAACTGCGAACCACGCCTCAAGCATCAAGCTCTGAAGCTCCTCCAAAAAACCGGAACGACAAACAAAAGGTAGTTGAGCCGAGTGATCTCGAGGATGAAAGTTGAGTTTTGGGTGAAATAAAAAAGGGTTCTAGAGAGTTCCTTCAAGCAGCGAGGAAGACGAGGAAGGATTTGAAAAACTCACCGACATGGCGGGAATGGCTTTGACGAGGACGAATAAGGCCTTCACATTGGTGCTTTCTAGCTCTAAGACCTAAATACCAAAAGCGCCATCTCCATCATTATTGTTCAGCTAGGCTTTGAAACTTAGAGAATAGGATTCGTAGACATAAGCAACAATTATTTACCTTTGTGCATAGTTTTTCAGCCTGCTTGTAATCTTTCAACTTCAGTTTGCAGGCTACATCCTGTAGATTGCACGCCACCTTCAATGCTTTTGCTTGCTTCTTCTCTTCCTCACTGAAGGATGTGTCATATTCAATGAATTTGACAGCCTGAGAACAAACTAAACCATGTAAGATTACGTTCGACATACTCACATTTCACCGAGCACTTTAATAGAATATACCTTGTCATATCTCTTGGAAGCCAGGGCATATTTGCCTGCTTTAAACTTGGCATTTCCTTCTTCCTTCTTCTTACCAGCAGCTTCTATCTTCTCCTCAGTGTTCATGTCCCACAATTCTCTTTCCTAAAAATCCAGCGGCAAACAAGTGTTGGACACCTATACTTCCATATTGAGTGAATTGTGAATTGCATAAGCATCCAAAACACTCCACTAACCTTTTCGAAAGTCACAAGGTCAACCTCATAATTAACGGTTGAGTTTGGCGGCACCACAGCCAATTCCTGTCGTGACACAGTAGAAGCAAAGGCATACTCTGGTTCTATGGTCACCAAAGCCACTTCACCCTTTTTCATCTTCATGACAGCGCATCACTTGCTCTGTTTAAGCATACGTAAAATGAGTTACTACGACTAAGTAAACCAAGGAAAATTCCGGCACATCCAATGGAAACTTAAAAAGTGTAGTTACCTTCATCTGTTTTGAACTTAAAGGGTCCCTCGCTTTCTCCATGACCTATCTTCAGGAATACAGTACCATTTTGAAGTGTTCCTATCAATTTCACTGCCAGAAAGAAACAAATAAAAGCCCCGTAAGAAACAGTTATGCCTGGTTAAAACATCAGTGTACTAAAATCCGAAATACAAACCTTTCACAACTGAACCCTTGTTAGGACGCTCATATCCTTTCCCTTCCTTCAAAATTTTTTTCATAACCTTGTTATCATCAGTTACTTCTGAAACTGTTTTCCAAGAAACTAACTCCAGATTGATCACAAGCGTTGCACTTGGAGGAACCGAGGCTGGCTTGCCCTTCTCCCCAAAACCATCTGTCTCATTTATAAGCAAATTGAAATAAGAGACGATGTACACAACATACCGGGATCAGAGAAAAATCAACTGAGGCAAACTGATATCCTGGTATTGTCAGAATCCTCATCATCAACATCATAACCAACATCTTCATAATCCTTTAGTTGTTTCAGTCCCTCAATGTAGTTTCACTACCGATTTGCCGTCCCTCAATGCCGACGACGTCGTCGTCGTCATCATCATGATCATATCCTCATCATCAACATCAAAACCAACATCTTCATAATCCTTACGAGATAGAATGTTATTGTAATCGTAATACACCGGATGCAGCATGCACCCATCCTTTAGTTGTTTCAGTCCCTCAATGTAGAGTTCCTTGAGTTTCACTACCGCTTAGCCGCGCAGAGCATCCTTTTGTTGT